GACCAGGCACAGAGTATCGGTTGGCTACCGTGTGAGGTTTTAGTACAAATGCAGTACTCATCGACTGGGTGTTAGTATCTGTTTTCTCTGGAGTGAAATTAGATGAGAATCAGGTATTGTTGTTTGCCGACCATGTACATTTACACACCCCGTTTAGTCCTTGAGATGTGTGTTTGTGTAACGGTAATATATTTCCATTTTGATCCATGAGTGACTTCAGGTTGGAAGTGATATCAGTCATAATGGAACAATTAATAGAACACACAGTCTAGACAGAAGAGTTGATAGTGTGATTATGCATCATTTCTATTCATGTAAGATGTGATTGACACGCAGATCTGATGGTAGACTGATGTGAGTGAGTAGGATGGAGAATGTGTTGATCCACCCGAATGAAATTACTGAAGCTGTAGGAGAAGCTGCAGAATATCAAGAAATGTTGTCTTGCATGTGTGTGAGTAATCTCATTTCTTCATTATCGTGTTCCAATTGTGACTTCTTTAGTTCCAGGGGGTGAGTGTATCCGTCTTCTTACGTAAAGGATTTATTTTCTGGAAGCGGTTTTGCACCTGTGACTTCAGAATTGCATATTGGTAGTAGTTTTGTCGTGAAATGCGTTCACATCGATAGTGACTGAATGTCAAGATAGTCGTTGTGAACTTCGAATGCAGTATTTTGGGAAAATGTCCACAACTAATTACTCACCAAATGCTGAGAGGTTGGATGAAGTTGGACGTATAGAGATTCGGTGGACACAACGGAAGACAATTTAGAGAAGCTATTCCACCATTTCTGCATAATGAATGGAGTTGACGTCATTTGTACAATGAGATTTGTTAGGACAAACCACCGAAATTCGAATAAAATATATTTGGCGCACTTTCCAGACTGTGTAACATCTCATGCTTCAACAGGTAATTGACGTCTGTCATTTTAGGCATTTCTGGTGAGTATTGAACATGTCACACATTTCGGATCGTTCATTTGTGGCGAGCTTCTGATGTGATGCATTTAATGTGATGCACAAATGTAGTGTGAATGATGTCCTGGATGATTGGTGGTTGACTGATCACTAGTTTGGAATTAATTGGGGGTCATCTGTTTCCTGAAACAGTCACGGAAACCTCTTTAACTACTGTCTGCTTGTTCACTTCTCCCCTTCGTAGATATTTATGTTGAGCAGCTTCCGTTTGCCACCATGTGGATTTTCCCTCACTTTGTGAGATGATGAGCTTAGACAAACTAGTAAAAATTCAGTTGTGTTTACCATTTCCAAACGTCTGAGAGAAGAATAATATTGAGGTCTGTGGTAGAACATCGAGTGTATAACATCTTGGCTAACAGATTTCATTTCTCGAACTGTACTCTTTCAGGTGACACATTAAGTGAGTATCGTTTTTTGTAAACGAATTGTTATTCTGACGTATTATTTAACATATAACTTCATGGGTAGAGAGGTATGAATGAAGTCTGTGTACTGACAATAGTATAAGTCATTTTTTCCACTTTGAGTTTGTTATCATTATTTTTGTTAGCATTGTTATCATTATCAAAATCCTACGTTTCCAACTTAAACAATGGGACGTGATGTGGAATGTATTAGACACTGTGAATATTGTTTATTTCACTTTGGTATCTAGTTAATCAAATTATTTTGCTTCTTGAAATGCATTCGTTCATGCAGACGAACCAGGTGAGTTACATTCCTTACATTGACGGAAATTGGCTTCTGCATTTGAGTGTGGAATGCATACGGCATTATTAAAATGAGCGAGAAACGCATTTTGAGACTGAATAATTCATAAACGCACTGTACTTCATACTTTTGGCTAATACTCCGACATTTCAAGTGTTCACAGGACATGATTTTGCTTTGCTTCCTTCCTTGTCGTTATTTCATTCCATAGCACTGAAATTATGAGTTGTGTTTAACAACTGAAGATGATTGGAATTGAAATCTTGGGTTTAGGCTGAAATCGTTTAGCGATGACCTCAAGTTGTATTCAGTATTTCAAATGCTGTCATCACACTGAGTGAAATGCAAATTAGGATCATTGTCACACAGGTGGAAAACACAGTGTCAATTTGTGTACTGACGAATAATTAAGCATTTCAAAATAAGTGTGAAGCGGAAATTTGGAGGCTCATTAACCTCACAACAAGTTTGTATAATTGATTTTTAAATAGATTTCATGACAATAAATTTTTGGCCTTGTGTTCAATAACTGAGCTTGCTTCGTAGTCAAGTAGTTGGCTTATCGGTGAAGTGTTTGTAGTATTCATTCATCAGTAAATTAGTATTATGAGGCGTAGGCTGTATCACTGGTCATTCATTGAGGTTCACTAAATTTGTTACAGTAAATTGATTGATGTTGAAATATGCATTTGTAGGGGACGGAGGTGAGTTCTCCCATTTCAGAATTCATCATGTGGTTTTTTCACAAGCTGTCTCCTGTGTTTCATTATTGACACCATCCACCTTACTTTGAGTCATTGGATTATGCTAAGCCTGAAAACATTTGAATAATCATAATTGAGCAGAATCATTTCTTCGAGATGTTCATTCAATTTGATATCTGGACGAACACGAATGTTATTTACTTTCCTATGCATACACATTAGTCTCAGGAGAACTGACTTACATTTCACTCATTTATTGTTCAGAAATAATGATCATGCGTTTTCGGTATTCATAGTTGAATTTGGCTGACTGGTTTGAATCCCTTTTTGCACACCTTCCTGTGTACTAGCAAAATTCGGATTAGTACAAATTTGTCAGTTATCCATGTATATTTATATATTAATTTCGGATGACTTGATTGAATGTAGGTGAAGCTGGTAAGTGATGGTGATGGTATACATTTCGTGTGGTCACACGACATAAGAAACACAAATCGTGTATTGAGACAGAATTGTGGTTGTTAAAGGCATTGAGACCGGGTAGAATAGATGAGAGGGCATGACTGACCTAATTTAGGAAGATCTCAGAGCTGAGTGTAGAGTATTTCCAAAACAAGAACACCCACTCACATCCATGTCCTTGTATGGGGGACTCTGTTTAGTGAACCTGTCATCAAATACTTCAAGACTGACTTCATTGGAGTGCTTTGTTCTTCCCTACAATTTGATTTCCCTGTAGGTCCTCCAGGTATGTATTTTGTGTGTTTCAACGCTTTGCAATCGATTTATGGGAATCTGGTACTGGCTTAGTTAACATGAAGTGAAAAATTTTACTGATGATCTATGTATGTTAGCAGCTGATGATATGATTCAATTCTTTGAAGCGAGGTGGCCGATCGCTCGGTGAATCGCAGTTTTACAATGTCGCTACATATACTCACAACATTGTGCCTATTGGAATCAGAGTGGAGTAAAACTCACTTTGTCGGGAAACGAGATAAATATTTGTGAATGAGTGTATGCTACAGATCTGTGCAAGTAAGAGAAGCAGAAGGTGACGTTTCTGGCAAATGAACATTCCGGATTGACCACGATGCTAAGCAGTATATCACTAGCATCCCTGATAAGCTATTCGATGATAATTTTCAATGTCAGCTTTCGTCAGGTTGTCAACAATTATTCTGTATCACTGTGTTATGGATTGAAGTTTGAAGGGGTCATTGAAAACTTTATTCCCTACGGCAATGAAAACATTTTGATGTGACATGATCTATGTTGTTACAGTAACCTACCCCAATACGGCAGAGCTATCTCAACATAGCCATCCGTAAACTATGATGTCAAAATTTTCACAAGCGCTGTAACCTGGCCAACAACTGCCACCTTGCCCTGGTGGTCAGGCTTGAATTTAGCAATGACCCAACGGGCTAAAATGGCTGGGACTCATGTCCCTGCAGGTCCTACCATGTCAGGAAGGTTGTTTGGATAGCGGTTAGACTAAGGGCAGTTACCATGGGGTACATGGGCTCCAGAATTCAATCGGATCAAATGGCGTATGAATCCATATGGGTCACCGGCAACCATGGGAACGCAGCTCTGCTGTTTCGCGGATTAGACTCCAAGTCAAAGGCTCGGGAGTGGTCCCTTAAGAAAACCACCTGCTTCGGTCTGGGCGCCCTCAAACAATAAATGAAATGAAGCAACAAACTATTATTGGAACTTACCACGCTGTAAGTAGTGATTGGTTAAACACAACAGTTTATCACCGGTAAATCGATAACAATATTTTGGTGAAGGTGAGATGAATGCTATTTCCGCTAGAATCAATCGGAGCTAAACACGTTTTACACAGACCGTCCAAGGTCAGGCAGGCACTACTGTATAATGTTGCCTTGAATTCACTCAGGAAAATCGTAATTGTGAAACACCACATTGTGATAAATACCAGAGAGCAACAAAGAAAATAGAAGCATTGAAAATAGAGGTCAACCATAAAAAATAACAAAGATCATGTTGAAGGGTGATCTACAAATGTTAAAACGATGATACACAGATCAACGGAAAAGTATAGTAATTCAGAAGTTAGGTGATATATATTCAAATAAGTATGGATATTGAAAACAAATTGCGCATGGAAAGATTTTCAGGTCAATTATCCTGGTACATTTGCTCAGAAGATGCTGTTCACTTAAATTCTCATTAAATTCTTCCACAATGACTTCAGTTAAGTTTTTTATTTTCCCTTCTTATTTCACATCACTTCAGAAAATCGAAGTATGTATTTTGTGTTACAGTGTGATTCACTTTGTTTGATGCTTGTCAATCAACAGTTTAATGTATCATAGTGTAACAGTTTCTCAAAGTATATTCATAATCAGCATGAAATCACGAAATCAAACAGCGTATATTAGAATCAGAGTTGAGAGAAGCTCACTTTGTGGAGAAACAAAACAAATATTTGTGAAAGAGTGTATGCTGCAGATTTTTGCAAGTAAGAAAAGCAGAAGATGACTTTTCTCGCATTTGAAAGTGACGAATTGACTTAGCAGCAAATTGCATGCTTATTAATGAAGCGTGATAGAACAGTTTTCGATTCACGGATGACAGTTATTCTGGATGACTACAATACTAAGCAATATATCACTAGCATTCCTGATAAGCTAATCGATGATAATTTACAATGCCATGAATTCACAGATCCTCCACGTAAGTGTTGCACAACTCAGTGGAAGGGCCGTTCTTATTACATATTTATCTTTGAATGCATCAGTGAGCATAAGTTTCATTTCACATTGAAGCTGAACATAAGCTGATGAGATGAAATATCTTTGAGTAGTACTATTCGCATATCATTAAAAAAGCCAATATCACTGTAGTATATGGCTAATTGGTTCACGTCGGTGAAGCATTCATCTGAATTCTTTGTTGGCAAATAATCTAATGGATGGTCAAGTCAGGATGAGGGGAATATTTTGGGTAGATATTCGGCTGTAGTCTAAGCAGTATACACAATATGACTATATTGAAGTGAAGTGAAGTGTTTGTCACAAAGGTGACTAGCGAATGATGTTATTTTGATTTCTTGATTATACTCATCTTTGAAGATGGAAGTGGTGAGTACTAATTTATTTATATGATTATGGTTGATGCTGAGGTTTGAAACAGTAAGCTTCTAATAACTTAAGTTGAGAACTCTGTGTTTTGCGATTGTTTAAGATAAGTGGCCGAATGTTTCACACTTGTCTGTGCATTCTGTACACGAAACAATTCCGGT